TATTGATGAAAGTAACCAAAAAAGATACAGAACATCAATAAAGAGGAGCTTGGAGCTAACAAAAAAACGTCTTCTGCATTATATATTAACATTGAATATATGCATTATATTAAATTTATCAATTTTCTTTACTCGTTTTAAAATTATGTGACTAAGATTATCATTAGATAATTTTTCATTTGATTTATACTGAAAGTAAAATCTTACAATTCTTAATCAATTTCTACAATCTAATTCATGAGTTCCTTTCAACAATCCCACTTAAAATTCTGATTTTAACAATGTAGACTTGCCTTGTGTTCAATCTACATATTCGGTCTAGTTCCAGCTCATAACCCATTTTGGTCATACAATTTTTGATGTTTTAGTGTCTAAATCATCAAAACAAAAAATAAAAAAAATATAGTTCAATAATTATTTAATTTTATCACATTTATATATATATATATATATATATATATATGTGTGTGTGTGTGTACACTCTTATAGCTTAATAAGAGGAAAATTTTATGATACACACCCCGTTTGGGATGTGTATATGTCCATTTAGTTATGATAATTGTGTTTTTAATTATGAATTATTATATTGTTAGTTATGACATTATGATAATGGTTATAAAATTATTTTGGTTATAATTCAAAAATTATTTGGTTAAATCTCAGTGGTGTTTGGTTATAACCCAATTTTTTTATTTATTTTATTATATAGCTATAACTTCCACAGAGTTATACGGTTTATAATAATCAAACTCATAAATGATATAACATACCTATAGTACGCAAATATTTACCCCTAATAAGATAATTAGTCTATCACCTCAGAAGGTTTATAATGGAAAGTAAAAGCAAACGTTATTAAAAAAGACAAAAGACAATAAAAAATAGGGAAAATAACACCGGTGCTAAAAAAAAAATACAAAATCATGAAAAAGTTTACACTGTAATAATTAAAATGCTATATTTTTTTTGCTGATTTGTAAAAACCTTTTCCCTGACAAGTAATTCTCCCTAAAAAATATGATAAATTACACTGACCTTCTCAAGGTTTAGAGAAAATAATGTTCCACACGTTTTCTGTAATTACATTGAACTTTAAGTTTTAATTTAGGGTAAATTACATTCACCTCCCATGTAATTTGAAAAAATATAATTAATCCTACAATTTTGACATAATTACACTAACTTCTCTCAAAGTTTTAATTAACATAAAACTGAAGCTATTTTTCATCAATAATTTATTAATCGTATGAATGAAAAATTAATATTACCATTTATTTTCTAGTAAATTGTATATTTATCTTTATTTATTTCAATGTCAACATACCATTGGCATTAGTTTCAGTCTTTTTTTTTATTTTTATTTTTTATAACTGAGTGTCTGAGCCAACTTGTGCACACCTCGATTAATCTCAATTGAAGTTAACGACCTGACAAATTTCTAGTGGCCTCTTGGAGAGACTCGAATTGGAGATCTTGAATTTTATTCTCAAGTCTTTACCGCTTAATCAACCTCTTAAAGTTTAGTTTCAGTCTCTTTAACCATATTAACATAGATATTAGTGTAATTATGTAAAAGTATGAGACTGCCTGTAATTGTTTTCAAATTTTAAGGGAGGTGGGTGTAAGTTACCCTTTAATTTATATAACACTTAATAAACATTTTTTTTTCTTATTAATTTCGATATCTTTACACTTACTAAAAGGAAAATTGGTATAACACTTTAAAAAAATTTGACTATAAATTTATTTTTCAAACGTCTTTTGCATTTTTTTTTTTTTTTGATCGGCAAAGAAAATCTTTATTGATGAAAGTAACCAAAAAAGATACAGAACATCAATAAAGAGGAGCTTGGAGCTAACAAAAAAAACGTTTTCTGCATTATATGTTAACATTGAATATATGCTTTATATTAAATTTATCAATTTTCTTTACTTGTTTTAAAATTATGTGACTAAGATTAGCATTAGATAATTTTTCATTTGATTTATACTGAAAGTAAAATCTTACAATTCTTAATCAATTTCTACAATCTGATTCATGAGTTCCTTTCAACAATCCCACTTAAAATTCTGATTTTAACAATGTAGACTTGGCTTGTGTTCAATCTACATATTCGGTCTAGTTCCAGCTCATAACCCATTTTGATCATACAATTTTTGATGTTTTAGTGTCTAAATCATCAAAACAAAAAATAAAAAAAATATAGTTCAATAATTATTTAATTTTATCACATTTATTTAAAAAAATAAATTCCTATAATTTTAAAAATTTACTATTTATTTTACTGAAGACAAATGTAATTAAATTAAGTGGATACAATTATCAAATTAATCTAATTTTTTAAATAATCTACATAGGGAGATCAAAAAATTAAATAAATTAAATCATTAAAATGGAACCTATAATTAACCCATGAGCCCAAATTTGACCGTTCGTATTGTAACATGCTCTGAAGAGGCTTCGTTTCCAATTTTCATGGTTGCTTTGTGCTTATCTTGAGATTTAAACCATTTAACGTGTAAGTTTTCCAAATAAATTGTTCTTATAAAAAATCAAATTAATTGACAATCAACAATAACAACTACCTGATTAGATCAAATTTCTCATAAATAAAATGGGCCACATATATAATTTCAAGAATAGAGCATTAATTTTTTTTACACAAATATAAATTGTGGAGACATATTTTTTGGGTTGTTCATTTGACTGAGATGGTTGCCGAGGTGTCACGTGAATGAGCCAAGATGCCGCGATATGGTGCGACCAAATCGAAATCCGAGATATTCGGATAGAGGATAAGAGTTCTAAATAGTTTGAGACTCTCTATTTGGATAAAGATGTTACTCTTAGGAGAGTTCGTCCTAATCTGGACTAAAGGAGTCCGAAATAGAGATTATCCATGAAGGATCAAGTCCTATAAAGTGATACTTCTAGAGGGCGAGGGTACTACTGACTATAAACGTAAGGCACCTCCGTGGATTTAAAGTATACTTTTTGCTTGTGCATTGTTCACTTGAGTTGTTATCTTTGATAAGTCAACTGGCTTGATTGTCGGAATGTCCCGGGTGTACGAACCACCGTGGTGTTTAAGGTCTTCTTGTATACAAGTGTTGGGCTTAATCAAAAAATGCTTTGTGACCCAAATTTGTGTGGCTCGAATTGCTCAAATGTGTCAAACGATGTCGTTTTACACCCAAAACGACGTCGTTTTGGGTGTTTCGAGCCATTCGACCCAAAGAAAGTTTGGGCCACCTAGCATTGTTGGGCTTAATCTATCATTTCATGTGCTTTACGGCTAAGTTCCTTAGATCTTGGTTAAGAGATCTAATTTAATTGTGAGGTCAAAATTCAATACCCATATAAACCAATTATGTCACTATCAATCAATTTAATTTTTTTATGTAAATAATGTGTTTGATTAGTTTAAAATAAATTGACTGGACTCACAGCAACCCAAACTGGTTGATCAAGAAAATAGTCTTAGTGATCAATCACCAATATGATGCGTGGTTTTTATTTTTTATTTTCCACAAAATTAGCGTTTGTTTATTTTTTGAAATTTTTTCAAAAACCTTATTTGGAAATAGAGAACTTTTAGGTCTAATAGGTTTGCAGGACCCTCTAGAACTTTCAATATTTTTATGCTAGCAGTGATGTCTTGATCAATAAATCTATAGTTAAAGCAGAAAAAAATGGACTAATTATGTACAACTAGAAATGAAAAAAATTTGTTTTTATTCATCTCAAATTAAAATATCTATTATAATGAATTATTATTTTAAAATATTATTGTCACACTATTATAGTGAAATCTTTTGTAATGAAATTTCATTTGCAAAGCTTTAATTATAAAATTCATGGAGAATAATGTAACAGTATTAATTTTGTAATAATGAATCAAAGTGATTAGTATTTTTAATTTTCAAGGAACGATAAACAAATAGACCCTTTCATTTGTATGAGGACTTTGTATATCGTTATATTAGAAAATTATTTACAAACAAAATGTAATAAAAAAATAAAAATAAAAAGAAAGACAAATTATGATAGTAGTCTATCTACTTTATCCCTTCTATCATTTTACTCCTTGTATTTTTAATTGATTAGATTTTGATCCTGAATTTATGATTTTATCTCAATTTGATTTAATTGATTACAACTCTTAGTATTTTTTACTTTTTTTTATAAAAAATATGCACGTAAATGTCACGTGTCATATTTTTAAGAGTAAAATTATAAACTTACTTTACTCAGTTAGTTAACCTCTCAATCAATTTAGTAATAATTTTCTTTTAAAAACACTTAATGATATTATTAATTAAACCAATTGAAACAAAATCTAAAATTAAGGGTCAAAATTGAGTTAATTGAAAGTGTATGGATCAAAATAACACAAAAGGTAAAATATAGGAACCATCGGTGTAACTTGCCCTAAAAAAAATCTATTAGAAATTATGTGACAATTAAATGAGCCCCTTGTTGAATCTTTAATTTGAAATCATAATATATTTTTTTTTTTATTTTTTATAATTACTCAATTATGTTTGTATAGCATGTACAGTACATAATGCAATAGAAAATTAGAATTCATAGTTCCAACCCCAATTATTTGGGATAGTAATATCATACTCACAATATATATATATATATATACAATGATATAACTATTCATATTTATTTTTTAGGAATAAAAGAGTCAAGCATTTTAATTCATAATTACAAATTGCCAATACTACATCATTCATCATTTTTTTATGAAATTTTTGTATATGACATTTGTATGATTATCATTTCCTTTTGAAATAAGGTTTTTTTTTTTTTTTTTTTTTTTTTTTTTTTTTTTTTTTTTTTTTTTTTGAGTTGTGACAGCATTGTGATAGCTTAGACAAAAACAAAAACAAAAAAGGGAGAGAAAAGCTTCATAGTTTTTTTTTTTTTTTAACACAATTTACAATCCGATTATGAAGAGATATATTTCATCTTCTTACAATCATATGTCTAAGAACAAAAACCAAAAATTTTATCATACCACTAAAATTGTGTTTGAATCAATGATTTGAACAGAAAAATGAAGAAAAAAACAAAACAAAAAAAACAAAACAAAAGAGGAAAATTTGTTTAACTTTTCTTTTCGCTTTTCTTATCTTTACAAATTCCCTGAATTCATAGATTCAAACACAACCTAATCTTAAACGATTTTGTAAAAAGCTTAAAAATGTTACCTAGGATCTTTTGTCAAGAGATAAACAGCAATACAAGGAGAGTTGTTCCAAACCCTAGCATGCAACCTAAGCACCTCTCTTGCTTTGTTCTTCAAGTACTTTGGAGAGTCAGCTTGAAGCACCATGCAAAGCTTTGATACAGCTCCAACTCTCAACATCTCCATAAGAACATCATTTGTTGCAGAGAATTTCGATATCAACGAAAGCACGTGAATGGCTCGATCATCTGTCCCTGGAGACACCCTCAAGATCCTCTTCGCCAACATAGCTACACCACCAGCATGCTTCAAAAGCTTCTCTCTCCCATCGGCGCACGAACACAAGTGAGCCAAGAGGCAAAAAATGAGCTCGGAAACATGTTTTTCGGGTTTGTTGAGTTCGAGTTCAATGAGCTCGAACACTGCACCGGTTTCGACTATCTTGGATCGGTTTCTTCCCCATGGACACACCTCTATTAACACATTCAAGGCAGCTTTTGTAGCCTGTGGAGAGATTTGAACTCTTAAGACGTTAACTATTTCAATAAAAAAGTGGGGCTTTAATCGCTCTATAAGACTTGAACTCACAACTTCGATGATGATTTTCAATACCAACATTGCACTGGTCTTCACTGCAACATGGTTTTCCATATCGTATTTCAGAACCAATAATATAGAGTCGATCAGATCGAAATTCTCATTCAGAAGGTGTTTATTTTCCGTTGTCGGTGTCCAAATAAGATGCAGTATTTTCAAGGCCTCTTCAAGACCGCTTGTTTTTCCCTCTTTGAAACATCTCGTGACGAACAAAACCATGGCTTTAATCGCTCCTGCCTCGGCCATACACGCCCTGTTCTTCTCGTTCTCGGCCAGCTCTTCCATTTTCTTCAATGCTTTGAAATGCAATTCCGGAATGTTGAGATTTCGGATGTGTTTGAAGATGTGGGACTTGTTGAGAGGCGATTTTGGAGTGGGGATGCGATCGACTCCATTTTTGGCATTCATGACACACCATCCCTGGATTAGGCGTCGTAGCATGTGGTTTGGTGTCAAACCAGAGTCACTGGACAATGGTTGTTTGGTCACAGGACACGTAATAGTGTCCTTGGCCATTAACAGCCATTGCTCAATGCTCTCCCGATCATACGTGATGCCGGAGACAGTTGTAACAGGGTCTTTCATGATTTGGAGAGAGATTGGGCATATGAAATATTGAGGTACTTCAATTTCTTCCATGTCTAGCATATAGAATGGAGGTGTACATAAAAAATGAGACTATGATACAACACAACTATAAACAGTGAGAGAGAGAGAGAGAGAGGAATTTTTTAAGATATATGGTAAGAGATAGCGGCTTATTTATTCTTGGGGTTTGAATGGAAAAGAAAGAGAGAACTATGACAATTCTAGAAAGCAAACTAAGTTTTGTTTTGTTTTTTTGTTTTTAATTTTTAATTTTACCAGTCATACTTTTCTTTTTGATGATTCGGTGGTCAACGCCACGAGGGAAACATTATAAAACACGTTGGTACGACTTTTTTGATTCCAAAACTCAGAAGCGCACACCATTTGCCAATTGGCATGTAGACGTGGAATAAATGTTGAGGATTAATAACGCCACATTTATCATATTTTTATATGTTATTTACCTTATGGATTTCATTTTTTTTGAGTTTAAATTTATATTTGAATCTCATGTGTAGACTTATAACATTTATTATAAATTTTATTTCAATAATTTAAATAATTCATTTTGTAAAATTCTCTGAATGCTCACAATAAATCAAATTGAATCATCCAATTGAATATCCCAACCAGAAATGATGCTGCCCATCTTCAAGGGTATAACTAATGATGTAATGCATAAATTATCTACTAGGTCTGCCGGTCCAATTATATTTTAAAAGAAAAATGCTTGCGACTCTTTTTTTGGGGATTCCTATAATCCTTTTGAATCTTAACTATTAATGTATGTGCAGGACCACTCATGTATGTGTGAAATTCACTTATGTATGTGTGAACCCACACCATCAATGATTAAGATCTAAAGGAAGTTGTGAGGATCAAAAAAAAAAAAGACTCAATGATTGTTGATTTTAAAATTTGTCAACTATTTCTTTGTTTTGAGGATTATGTATTCATTTAATTCTTTTCTATTTGTTCTTTAGTATTTGTTGGGCACATAACCAATATAAGATAATTCCTTGATTTAATGAGTTTCACCTGAATTCTAATTATATTTAAAAATATAGTTGTATCAAATGAGAAATAAATTAAATATGATATAGGAAGTTTGCAAGTGTAGCTTCATTTATTGAGGATAATGGTCACACCATTTCATGTGATGATATTACTGGTTAATAAAATACTGTAAATGAAAGCAAGTGAACATTGTTTGTCTTTCACTAGGGTTACGGTACACATGCAAATTATGATAATTGTAGGTTTGATTGTCACATATGTGGTAACTCAATTTTATGGGAGTCATAATTTAAAAATAATAATAATTATAATCAAATATCACATAAGTTATAACTATATAACTCTTGGAGTTGAGCATGAGAGAGAGCGGGAGAGCAAGCAACTTGCGACCTTCCAACGGTAAAGGAGGATGGATCCCTGTGGTGAAGCAACGGCGAAGAGGTGGAGCATGGGGTAAGGAAGTTAGACGCGGCCTCCACACAATATTCGTGGACAACCTCCCTTGTTCCATGGATGCTAAATCCCTGTTCAAACTGTTCTCCAAGTTCGGCATTGTGAGCGATGTTTTCATCCCTTTCAAAAGGAGGAGAGTGTCAAACTCCCGATTTGGTTTTGTGAGATTTGGCTGTCCTGTTGCATCAGACGTTGCTATTCAGAAAGCAAATGGCCTCTTGGTGGATGATAAGGTGCTAGCAGTCAATATGGCTTCTTACGATAGGAATAACAGAGTTGTACAAAGCCAGAGGCGGGTTCAGAACAACAGAGGTGCTATCGAAACAACCACAACGAAGGGTCAAACGCCATTTGTTGGCTCTAGAACATTCGCAGAGGTACTAAAAGGCGGAAAACTCAATGGGGAAGCTTGTACGACCGTCAAAGCAAACGAAGATGGCCACGGATGGCTATACGACAGTGTTATAATCAGACTAAAAATGGATTACACTGTAAATAGTATCAGAGAGGCCCTCGAGGAGAAGGGGACATCGCAGGTCGTGGTTAGAAAGGGAAGTGGTCGCGATGTAGTAGTTACCTTTGATTCCCAAGAGGAGATGCAATCTAACGTCCACAATATGAAAGTATGGTTCAAGGACTGGAGCCATTTTGTCTTAGAATGGCAGCCAGGTCTTCAAATCCAGCAGGAGAGATGCGTGTGGTTAAGATGTTTTGGCATACGCCTTAACCTCTGGAATAGAAGCACACTAAACAACATTGGCAGCTTGTGGGGGCCAGTTCTTAGCTTAGAGGGTGATGTTAATCAACCTAAGTCATTCTCCTCTACCAGGATTAAAGTGGTGACATCCTGCATGGGGTTCATCTCTTCGACAATCAATCTGGAGTGTAAGGGCTCACTTCATCCAATCCTTGTGTATGAGGATCACCTGGTCAACTCAGTTGAGTCCCATACCAGCTCACACACTGAGCATGATGATTGCATCTCCATTGTAGGAGTGGGGCCAATTAATTTTCCGCAGAAGTCCGGCGAGGAGAAGGCGGATGACGTTGCAATGGCACATGGTGATCGGAGGCTCACACAGTGCAACAGTGGCGAGCAGGACGATACAGTGGTTGAGGAGACCGGCTACGCTCAGCAGCTAAGTGAGAACGTAGCTGGTATGGTGGCTCCTGGTCCCAATGAGGTTGAGGAGACGTTGAGTGAGGGGAAGCTCTGCAGTGCTAGTGCAGTAGGTGTGAAGGGAGCAATGATGGGGGAGCTATCACCCCTGGCTGACCCACCGAGGAGTGCTGTGGAAGTTTCGCGCCCTCACTCCAACAAAAGCTCCAGTGGGCCGATGGATGACTTTGGGCCTGGTATTTCCCTTGAGGTGGATCTAGCCCATCCACATGGGCTGCAAAAAGTCCAAAGCCTAACTCTTGTCAAGTCACCTGAATTCCCTGTCACTAAGTCTATTATTTATCATGCTCCAGTCCCAGGCCCACATGTTATTGCTGGCCCATCTTCTTTGGGCACTTTGGGTCTTAAGGATCAAAGCCTCGATAACTCATCTTCATTCACTACTAATCCCCTTCGGAAGGCAAAACATTCTGGGAAGAAGAAGGCTAATGCGGAGGGCTTCTCCCGCTTTGCAAGGCTTTATGGCCAGACAACTGCAACCGTTGTTAAGCACTCGTCCAGGTCTGTCATCCTCAGACCTGCTGCTGCTGCCCTTGCTCAATCAGATCTGTCCGAAGGAAATTCCAGCTCAAGTAGCTTCCTCCTCAAAGAAGCTAAAGCAACCATCAAGTTGGGAGAGCAGCTGGGAATTAATTTTAAGGGTAAAGAAGTTGCTGTGATGGACAAGATTATTGATCTTGAACTCAATGACAAAGTGAGAATTAATGAAGTGGGCTCGGCAAAGCCGTGATTGCTGTGTTCGGGGGCCTCACAGTGCATCATCTGGTCTTTATGAAGCTTCTCTCCTGGAATGTCAAAGGTTTAGGTATGCCTGAAAAGAGGGGTAGAATCAAACGTCTCTTGAGAGATAGGCATATTGATGTTGCTTTTCTTCAAGAAACCAAGAAAGTAATAGATACAGAGTTTGCTGCTGGTGGGCTTTGGGGAAATAGGAAAATGGAGTTTATGTCAGTAGACCCTATTGGTACTGCAGGTGGGCTTCTCTGCATCTAGGATCCGGATGTTTTCCAACTAGTTGGGAGCTGCTGCAACAGGAGGTTTATACTCCTCTCAGGTACGTTCTACAGCTCTTTTGATTGTGTCCTCCTAAATGTTTATGCCCCTAATGATGTTAGTAGTCGGTCCACTCTTTGGAATTCAATCCTTAAGCTCAAGGAATCCTTCCCTCGGCCTTGGTGCTTGGCTGGTGATCTTAATGAAATTAGGCACATGGGGGAGAGAGTTGGCTGTGTCAGAAGAGATAGGGGGATGCGCCATCTTAATGACTTTATAGACAAATGCGAATTGAATGATCTGCCCCTCCTTGGTCGGTCCTACACTTGGTGTAACTCTCAGGAGGCCCAGAAATGGAGTAGAATCGACAGGATATTGCTCAGCCCAGAATGGTTGGTTCACTTCAAAATGAAACTCTGGGGCCTGCCTAGGTTAATATCAGATCACTGCCCTCTATTGATGATGGAAGATGAAAGAGATTGGGGCCCTAAGCCCTTCAGGTTTATAAATGCTTGGACCCTGCACCCCAATTTGTCTCACTTTTTCACTTCTTGCTGGGAGAATTCCACTGCCTCTGGTTGGGCAGGCTTCATAATCCAGCAAAAATTCAAGCATCTCAAGATGAAGTTAAAGGTTTGGAATACTGAAGTGTTTGGAAATATTACCACTAAGCTCAAAGAAATAGAGGAGGAATTGCATGCCTTTGACAGATTAGCAGAGGAAAGAGTACTGCTCCAGTCAGAAATGGATCGAAGAAGAGTAGTGAGAGGTGAAGTGTGGAAACTCTACAGGAAGGTGGAGTGGCTATGGCATCAACAATCCCGAATGAATTGGTCCTTGCAGGGGGACAAAAACACTAGGTTCTTCCATGCTGTTGCAAGTTCCAGACATAATAGGAACATGATAAATTCTATCTCAATTAATGGTGTGTCTCTCGAGGAGCCAAACAGAGTTAAACACGAGGTGTTCCTTCATTTTAAGAAACATTTCAAGGAAGAGTGGGCTAAGAGGCCCGTTTTGGGAGGGGATTTCAGTTTACTTGAGGACACAATTTCCCATCATCTTGTATCAGCCTTCACTAAAGCAGAGGTATGGGCCGCCATTAAAGAGAGTGATAGCAACAAGGCTCCCGGACTAGATGGGTTCAATCTTTTAGGCTATCAGAAGTTTTGGGGCATAATGAAAAAAGTGATTATGCAATTCTTCCAAGATTTTCACAACCACAGCAGACTTACCTATGGCATCAACAGTTCGTTCATCACACTCATCCCCAAGACTCCTAATCCCACTAATCTGTCAGATTACAGACCCATTAGTCTGGTGGGTTCTTTATACAAGATTTTAGCAAAGGTCCTCTCGCACAGATTGAAGTCCGTAATGCCCTCCATTATTGGTGATTCCCAAACTGCTTTCATAGGGGGAAGAAATATCCTTGATGGGGTATTCATTGCTAATGAAGTCGTAGATGGTTGGAAGAAGGCTAAGCA